AAACTTTCATGTGATTGGTTGGTTGTTTGAAGGCAAGGCCTTGGAGTCTCTTATACTGATTGTAATTGGTTAAGGAGTGACAAGAAATAAAAAGTGATTTAATGCTGTCTTGGGTGAAAACCAGGGACTTAGCAGAGAATCGTTGGAACATGAATGGAGCTTGTGTGTGTTTCTTGTGAGTCTAGTGTGGAAAACGACCGAATCCCGGTTACCTAAGTGAAAGGTTTTTAAACATCAAATTTACCTATCACAAAAATACAAAAAAGCAAACAGGATGGGAAATAAGAATTATGAAAGGTGAGTTTCTTGTTTTCATTTCACCGGTAAGACGATACTGTTTACAATACGGTTTCAATTTTACTGAAACGCTGTTTCCCATTTTTTTAAACAAACTGGCTAAGATCAACTGGGAAAAACCCTGAATTCGAGCATCTGAGTGTTGAAGATCTCAACAATGTTTTACGACAGTTTTATGCTGAGATGCGGAGTCAACCAGGAGAGAAATACGGGAGATCGAGTTTTGGTGCAGTGCGAGCGGCGATCAACCGACACATCAACTCATCACCATATAATCGCAACCTGAACAGTATGCAAGACCGTGAATTCAACACTGCCAACAACACCTTCAAAGGTTTAATTAAACAACTTAAAATGGAGGGAGTTGATAATGTTGAACACAAAATAGCAATCTGCAGGGACGATTTGAAGAAATTGGTCGAAACCAAAATGCTATCGACAAGTACTCCAGTTAGTTTAATTAGAAAAGTTTGGTTTGATTTAACTTTTCATTTTGGTAGACGTGACCGGGAAGGAATGCGAATTCGTTTAGGACAAAATTCGATGCCGATGGAAAAAAATCATTGAATATGCTTTTCAAGAAAAAACAAAAAATCATTCCGACGATGATTACGAAGCCCAGGCAAAAATGTATGCCACCAATAACGACCGGTGCCCTGTAGCGGCGTTCGAATTTTACCTAACAAAATTGCATCCGGGTAATTGCCATCTTTTTCAAAGACCACGGGATGACGTAGAATTCAACGACTATACATGGTATTGCAATTCTCCACTGGGAGTAAATAAATTAGGGAAGATGATGAAGGTTATTTCGAAAGCTGCAGATCTGTCCCGAGTGTACACCAACCACTGTATTAGAGCGACGGCGTGCACAGTCCTTGATTCGGCCGGAGTTGAGACAAGACATATCATGTACGTGTGTCCTGTCACAAAAACGAGGCGAGCATCCGATCATACACCAACAAACTTACCTCAGAACAACGAAAAAACTTGTCAGGCATACTGTCAAAAAGCCTTGGTTATACCAAGAATGTATCCAGGTCGGATGTTGGGTCTGAGATCGCCGTGCCGGTCACCGTACATGATACACCACCACGGATTCCCCCACTGCGTCCCTCTGTGTCTCAAACTTCGGTCGAAACAAGTACTGCTGAACGTCAATTATCCACAGTTACAAGCAGTATGATGAGTCAGACATCCGGTTTATTTCACAACTGTACATTGAATGGGCCAATTACAGTCCAAATTGTACAAAAACCGGAATGAAAACGTGGAAAATCTGTTATTTTGTTAATCCAAAGTGTACAGGACGCCGTATTCCAAATGGTGTTGACGTAGTCAGTAAAAGGTCATCTTTTGTTATGCTAATTTCTGTGTTTAAGCTGTTCACTGTGGATACGTGTTGTTATCACGCGGAATAAAAGAAGTTTGTAATTAATTTGAACTGTGTTGCGTGTGCATTTTTTGTGTGCATTCAGTGTACAACTACATACTGTTCTATAAATATTCATGTTCAAGGGCCATATTCATAATCTTATAGTAGATGCAAGTAAATTCTTTTTTTTACTAGTTTTGTCGAATAGTCAATATACTGGTATAATATAATAGCAATAACCCCCCGCCGAAGTTGGGTATACCACTCGATATTGCACAATTCACTCCATATATGCACTCGCCTGCGGCTCGTGCATATATGTCGTAAATTGAATATACACGCCTTCGGCGGGGGGATTATTGCTTAAATAACCAATAGCATTAAAACAATTCAAATAGCACACCTGGAATAGTTATTTTTCTAATTGTGGATTGCAAGTCTTCAGTGGTTGAACCAACAGATGGACTAACAGACTTCGTTTCAACTACGTCTGACATACCAGTACTTGAGGTGGGACGTAATGAGTCTGTTGACATATTAAATATAATTTGTATTTGTGTTAACACTTAATGATGATACGATACTAAGTAAAAATAAACAAAAAAAAACATTAGCAACAATCGAAATATTGTGTTAAAATTGAAGATAAAATAAACAGTATCACTTTATATAGAATTCAGTTTGAGAGGCTTTATTTAAAATAACGTGTTTGTGAAATTAAATTGAAAGGTGATTTAGTAATAAAGACTTGGGCCAAGGCACACTTTCTCGGAAAATTAAGAGGTTCTTATTGCTGCAAAAAATAGATTGTATACGAATTTCGATGACGCAAGTTATGTAGACGTTTATGAGTGCATTTAGCGTCGATATCAGTATAAAACATTGTCTTACCATAAATATCATGAAAATATGTAAAGTATTGCCAGACATTCTGGTCGGTTTTGAGTCGCTTATTTCAAAAATGATTGTTAAATAGATAGATTGTTTGTTTATCGGAACCTTTAGAACATGAGATGTAATGAGATGAGAAAATTTGAATTCATTTGATAAAAAAACATTTTACTCTACAAAATATACGATATAGAATTAGGTAATATCATGTGGACCACTATATTATTAAGCAATTTAGTATTTAAAACCGTAAATCTGTCCCATGCTCTATTATGTGATGCCAACCCGGTAAGCCATTCTTCCTAAATGTGATATTATTTTTAGGCAAACTCAATGTACGTTTTAACAATAAATAGTAATCATTGTTTTAGTGAAAACAAAACTTCTGATATTCACCTCGGATATTTACAACCACAAATGTTTACTTAAGGTAAAAGAGAGAGGGGCAAAATGAGAATAAAAAAATAATCATTATATTGTATAATATTTAAATAGTTTGTGAAAATTTACTGTGCGCAATTTCGGTTCATTTACTTTAGACCAGCTTTGGGTAAACACGTACTCTGTATATTTACTAACCAGGTTGAGTGACGGACTGAAAACAAAAAAAATAATTGGCATTGACCTTCCTGCTTTAATATAATCTGCGTAGTCGGACCGTTGCGCGATCGCATTTGCAGCACAAACATTCTCACTTAGTCACGTAGATTTCAAGTTATTCTGAGTGTCTTTTTTTTAAATAAAAGTTTCTTTATTACTTGTTTGACGAGGTTCATCACTGAAATGTTTTTTTTTTCTGCCATGTTATTGTTTGTTCAATCATCACAGACTATATACAGTGTTGTGCGAGATCTCACACGATCCCAACGTTGACGTAATATGTCGTATTGGTGTCGTCACTCATATTATTCCATATACAGGTAATAGTGTACAGTAATACATGTGATGCTGAGAGTGCAGATATTGTTACACGACAGACAAACACATTGTTGCATGAATAACAAATTACCTTCATCATATATCACAATTGAGAATGAACCTTTTGTGTAGTTTAACCGATATTAACCAATAGCATTAAAACAATTCAAATATCACACCTGGAATAGTTATTTTTCTAATTGTGGATTGCAAGTCTTCAGTGGTTGAACCAACAGATGGATTAATATATTTCGTTTCAACTTCGCCTGACATACCAGTACTTGAGGTGGAACGTAATGGGTCTGGTGGCATATTAAATATAATTTGTATTTGTGTTAACACTTAATGACGATACGATAAAGTAAAAACAAACAAAAAACATTAGCAATAATCGAAATATGATATTAAAATCGCATGACTAAAACAAGTGAATAATACTTTTGAACTGAAATATATTGAAGTGACAGTTTTAGATAATAGAAATATATATATATAGGCCTACTTACCAAATTCATTTGATTGTAATATTGTGGTTAACTCAGGCTTTGTGGTTTGTTTCCCTACTGTTGTCACCTCGGGTGGTGCAGTGATAGTCACTGGTAAAGTAATATATGTAAAATGAATCATTGTATCACCATACGAAATGCCGATTTGTGTTAAAATTGAAGATAAAATAAACAGGAATAATATATTTAGACTTCAGTCTTACAAAACTTACAAAAAGATGATTTAGAATTAAAGAATTGGACTAAGACACACTTTCTCGGGAAATTGAGGGATTCTAATTGCAAAAAAATAGGTTGTATACGACTTTCGATGACACAAGTTGTACAGGCATGTATGAGTGCATTTAGCCTCAACATCAGTTTGAAACCTTGTTTTACCAAAATTATCATGAAAATAAGTAAACTATCTCCAGACATTCTGGTCGGTTTTGAGACGCTTATTTCAAACATGAGTGTTATATACATACATTGAAGGGTGCATTGATCAAAGACGTCAGTTCTGGATTTGTTTATCGGAACCATTAGAACGTGAGGTGTAATGCGATGAAAACATTTGAATTAAATTGATAAAGAAACATTTCACTCGATTAAATATACGATATAGTAATATCATGGGGGCCACTATATTATTAGGCAATTTAGCACTTTTAGGTACTTTAAAAAAACGTAAAACTTGCCTCATACTGTATTATGTGATGTCAACTTGGTAGACCATTCTTCCTAAAAGTGATATTATTTTTACGAGCAAACTTAATGTACGTTAAAACAATAAAAAGTAATCATTGTTTTAGTGAAAACAAAACCTCTGATATTCACCACGGGTATTTACAATCACAAGGGTTTACTTAAGGTAGAGAGCGGGAAAAATTAGAATAAACAAATCAGAATATGAAACATTATATTGTATAATTTTTATATCGTTTGTGAAAATTTACTGTGCGCAATTTCGGTTTCTTTACTTGAGACAAGCTTTGGGTAATTACGACATCCATATATTTACTTACCAGGTGCAGTGACGGATTGAAAACAAAAGATATGCTTACTGAATTGATGACTACTCAGCTTTAATATATACTGTGTAATCTGTTCGTTATGCGATCACAATTGCAGCACAAACATTCTCATTTAGTCACGTAGATTTCAAGCTATTCTGCGTGTCTTTTTATATAAGAGTTCCTGCTTGTACTTGGTTGACGAAGTCCATCACTAAAACGTTTTCTTTTTGTGTGTGTGCCAAATTAGTGTTCAATCATCACAGACTATAGACATGTCTGTATGCTAAATGTAAACCGGACACTTTTGTATTCATATGCTGAGTGTAATTTCAACTGTTGCATTCATATGCTAACTTTAATTGCTACAGATAACTGTGGCATATTTTTTTAATCACTTTTGTAAATTTGACCTTGCACCTCAGCTGAGACTGGGCAGCTTTAGTCTTGGTGAAACGTGTGGAGTTGAGGAGAAGACGGTTTTCTCAATTATTGAAAAATGTGAACGAAGCGGTTAGAACAATATCAAACAAGTTATTAACGTCTGGGCTAATGGGTTGCCGATGGAGGTTTCTGGGAAAAGTCATGTCAATGTCAAGTGTTATTCGCATCTTGTTGTCGCTCGATTGCAACTGATAAAAAATATGGCATTCACAGTTTTAATCACAATTCAACATCCAAGTATGCCTTGTCACTTTATATTTGAGACACGTCTTGTTGATAACTCCACCACGTGACCCGCGACACCTCCACTTTGGTCAAGATATAATTAGGCATTACAGTTGGTGAGAAATGATATGATACTTTACTGGTATATTTATATTCGTCAAAAAACTAAGACTCTGGCATTTTTATTTTCATTGTTTGGCAATAATATAAATTTTTAGTGAACATATCTGTTGTTTTGGGGAAAACTTGCATTTTTGTTATTCTTTTTATAATTCTTTATTTCAGGCTCATATTCAGTTCATGTGGACCATTTAATTTACAATATTTATGTCTAGAAGCATTTAGTTTTGTACACACTACATCTTATTTAACAGAATGAAATGTTATCATACCTACTGATGTTGATTGCGCGAGTGTGGTGGTATCGGCATTGGTGGTCTGTTTCACTTCTGTTTTCAACTCTGGTCTTTGGACTATAGTGCCTGGTTCCATAACATACGTGAATCCATTGTTTTCCGAAAGGATTGTGATTGGATGATACAAAATATATACTTATCATGGTTAAATTAAAATATGAAAGTGCTTATTATGCGTGCAGTTATTCAACATCTTAAATACCCGCAACTGAACAAAAGTCTCATTTTGTATAAGAACATAACCTCTACTGTCTTTAGCACGTCGGTCTGTACACTTACAATTATTTAATATTATTTATTAAAATATATGCTCCGATACGAAATAAATGAACAAGATATTATTATGCTAGCAATTCTAAAACAAAGGGTATCTTAATTACAATGACCATACTAATACATATATACATATGTGTTTACTCACCAGCGACAGTTGATTGTGGGACTGTGGTCTTTTTTGCGACTGCCATTTCAGATGCTACGACTGTATCAACTAATCCAGTGACATATGTGAGAGTAGATCAGTATATAATCATACAGAATATGATATAAATAAAAACAAATAGAACTGAAAGTTCAAAAAGGCGATTAGCATAGTACTTGTCGAAATACTACTTACCACATGGGCAGAAGAATCTGACTTCATAGTCTGGGCACTGCTTTGATTGTTGGTGCTCATTAAAGCATAATAAACCTACATTCGGTTCACACGTTATTCTTCCCTGACCACTAGTTTGATCATACGGAGACTCTGAACCTACAGCTCTGCACTCAATACTGACAGGGTTTATACATACATCATAAGTAGCTCGTATCATTCCATGTGATTCATAGTCACCCATTGAATCAGGGTTGTTAGTGTTGAACCAGTTTGTCCATTTACCATCTGGACATAAGTTAGACGATGCCTGATCTAAAGTTGTTCCTTCATGAATAATTGCTATAAGATAAAAATAAACACATTTTTCACAATCATGATCAAATAATGATCAAAATATAGGATATAATTCAGTAGTTGAGGGAAATTACTGTACCAAAATTTACATTTCATTAACTGCTCAAGGGCTATTTGATATGTATCTGACATCAATATACAGTAGGACTGATGTTAAGATAGAAATAAATATATTATATCTTCATGGCTTTATGTGCACATTTAAGCCAATCAATATTGTGTTACGTCAAATTAAAAAAAAACGAAAACAATTTCATTAACAATATTCTATATCTGTATTTGGTGTATCTTTGTCAAATTATACTTGCACATCTTTGGCTGTATATACACATGGACGAACAAATGAATACTTCAATTAAACCTATGTATATTTTTCCAAGATTGAATCATGAAATATTGTAACTGGTCACTATCCATCATATGACTTAGCCCTTCTATGCCATGTTCAATAATTTCACACTTCCAATTGCTATGTGTTTAGACGCAGTGTGTTTCCATAGTAAATATTTTCTATAAAACGTTAATCAATAAATGTATTTAATATGAGAAATAGTCTAATAGATCAGACAATCATGCTTGAACTGTCAAATTGACTGACCACGCCAATTTTATTAACATCACAGTTATAGACAATTGAAATATCTCCCCGCCTAAATATGTATATTATGAGATGAAGCATTCTCACATACAGTACCATTATATATGTCATTTTGTCAAGCTAGAAGACTTAACACTAGGATAAGATAATATTTATATTCTACTAATACTGTTCTATTTACCAGTAGATGTAGACTGCCTGATTGTGGTGACATCGGCTTTAGTGCTTTGTTTCCCTAGTGTTGTTGACTCGAGTTCTGCGGGTATAGTCTCCTGTTCTGTGATTATATATATATATATATATATATATATCATCATATAATCGTACGAAATACAATGAATTAAAAATCGTGCACAATGAATATATTCAAAATTCTGTAGGCTAGTTAGATTGATGAAAAGCTTTCTGAAATTAAAACTTACAGACATAGAAAAACATAGAAAAATTCTATTTACCAGTAGATGTAGACTGCCTGATTGTGGTGACATCGGCTTTAGTGCTTTGTTTCCCTAGTGTTGTTGACTCGAGTTCTGCGGGTATAGTCTCCTGTTCTGTGA